GTACAACTGACCCAAGCATATGGACACTCAGGTATAATGACACAAAATTTGTTCTCTGTTCTGGTGGTAAGGACATGCAGATGTGGCAAGGATATTAAACTGAATCATGGAGAGTAAAAGTGGGTGATTTTTATCAAATAAAAATATTAATATAGATACAAACGTAAGTTTCTGAAAGGAGACTTTATCCACTTTCTAAATGCAAATATTTCCTTTGAATCATTTTGTCTTTTATTTTTTTAATTTAATTTCTCTTTAATGAGCTAAGAGCTGACCATTGCATGATTAAATACAAACTGGGAAAGCCTCAGCTGCTACATGCCAACCCTGGGTCAGTTTCTGTTGTAATGCTGTAAATACCTGAGCGAGATTTAGGAGGAAGATGAATGACTTCAAATATCATAGAAACATTGGTGCCCTCAGGATTCAAATCTTCCCCAAGTCATGAAATTTTGAAAAATACACTGCAGAAAAGTTACATTCCATTGTAAGATCTTTTGTTAGATAAGGTTTCTGCAGCATTGCTACTCTCTGCTAGATTATTTTGGGTCTAGGATTATGCCTTCTGTCTTGGAAGGATTTATTTTATCTTAAAGTAGATATCCAACTATATCACTCCTGAGTATCACATTTTGCATGACTTGATATTGCTGGAAGAAAAGACCGTCTATGTCTATTTTAAAGTCCTGTATGGTTTGCATACATATAAATTCATTCTTACTAATTTTCCATTTTCAACAGTTAAAAATATATATTAATACAGAACCTAACCCTAATACTAATCCTTGTTTACAGTCATTTTTCCCTTGCAGTCTCATTCATTGTGTAGTCTGAGAGAAACAAGAAATGAATTGTTCTGCAAAATGGCTGCTTGTTTTCTACATTCACTTTTAGCAAAATCAATGGGTTTCTTGAAAAAAAAAAAAAGTCACAAATCCAAGTCTTTCAGTATAGCCTGCAGCTAATATTAAATGTTGCTCAGGTAACTCAGTGTTTTGAAATAAGTGAATCGGATTCTCTGTGAAGTCTCATCCAGGCACATGTTGCCACTCTTCAATATATACATATGTTTGGAGAACAGCTTGTGGTGAATTGTTAAAAGAGGCATAAATAGTTTAGTAAAACTTTTTAAGGATGATAGGAAACATTTATCACTAGTCTGGTGAATTTGGGATTTCCTTTAAAAGGTTACATCATTAAATGCTCTGCTCAGATAAAAATAAGACACCGACAATGCGATTTAAGAAAAAAAAAAAAGTATTGTAAGTTAACAAAACACTAATTAAATGCCAGACATGGGAGATTTCTTTCCAAGAAGAGAGCTGCCTTGTCACACAGCTCCTTGCTGTCCCTTTGCTGTGACCAGCAGCAGAGAGGACAGCACCTACAGCAGACAAGACCTTTCTCAGGCATTGTTTCATATTTCACAGCCAAGGTATTCTGATTTAATCAGCAATGTGTCCACCCCCATTAACTGATCTAATCCCTATTTGAATCCTTTTATTCTTTTGCCCCTCCAGAAGGTTGCCCCAGATTCTCTTTTGCAAGGTGGAGACAATGAGTTCATGGACAACTCTTTTGAGCAGAGGCTGTTTTCTGCTTCTGACTTCCATGCTTCCCTTCTCTGAATCTTTGTGAGTTCATTGCTATGATTTTTGAGATGAGGATACTGAAACAATCAGCAATACTCAGACTTTCGGTACATAGCAGTAACTAGCAATAGTTTGTTTCACTTTTACAACTCTTAATGTCATATTGACTGTTTTAATGAGTTTATGTTTTTAGAGAAGTAGGCACACATTTCAAGGTCTCTTGAGTGATAATAATTAATTTAGGGCTCATCTCTGCTTAATCTTAGGTAGGGTTATTTTTTCCTTTCGTGCATCATCTTGCATTTCTTTTCATGAGATCCTGTCTGCCACTTCAGTCAACCCACTCCCTACTGACAGTTTACAGATCTTCCACACTTGTTTTAGATGTGAACACATTCTAAACAATAAAAATTTCCATTATGGAAATTCACAGTTAATTTCTACCTTTACTCCTTAGCTTTTACCTAACTAACCCCCTATGAGAGTAGCTCCTTCTTATACCTTCAAATTAAGTATTTCACCACCAAAGGCTCTCTCTAAAAATTGAAAGTTTTCTAACATATTTTAACATGGTTGTTTTTTGCAAACAACCTACACATCAGATAATCTGCATCCCTTAGAAGAATTCATGCTTGTAAAAAAAAGCCCTAAATAAATCCTCCCTTCTCAAGGAAGCATTTGGGACCATGGCAGCCAGGCTATTGTGGCTTAGGAGGGCTCTCAGGCAGAGTTCCACTGGGAAGAGAAGCAAAGAACAGAAACTCCTCAGGATAACATTACTGGGAGGGAAGGAGCCAGGAGATAAACATCTCTTCTTATTTTCTAGAAATGTGCATGAACCAGTTTCTGCTGCTGTGGTCATGAGCTCCTCTAGTAAGTCCCTAGATTTGCTCATAAAACCCTATAGAGCGTAACAGTGTAATCTGGAATCCAACAGAGATTCAGATTCCTTCTGCAAAATTTTCCTTCATCCTACTTTGCAGTCAGATCAAATGGCAACGTATGGCACCAATACAACCTGAGATGAGGAGCATTAAATCCTCAAATAGCCAAGTGGAGTAGAAAAGGTACCTTGACAGATACAAGTTTTTTTTCTGGTCACCTACTGTTGATCTTTTCGTAACACAAAAGAATGAAGGGAATTCAGGGATACCAAAATATTTAGAGTAGATATCTTTATCAGGAAGCTGAGTACCATTAGGATTAAAGGGAAGAAGAAAAGAGCACCATGTTCCTCCTCTTTCTCCCTCCCTTCCCTTGTCTCAGGATTTGGATCTGAACTAGACTCTCCCACCTCCAGCTTCAATTTCAGCAGACATCTCAAACATGCAGACATCTGCTCTATTCACTTGTCAGGTACAAGAAGTCCAACAAAAAAATTTTCTGCCTAATTAATAGGACTTCCCACCCCCCATCCTCCCACACCCCTTACTACTGAAATGATGTCTCTGCTTAAATATTTAGGCTAGCAAAATCATCTTTAGGTTTAGAAATGGCAAGCATGGAAATTTTAGTTGTGCTGTCTCTACCATATTTCCTCTTCTTTCTTACTACAAAAATTCTTACTTTTTTACATAAGACATTCTCATTTTCAGATCTCCACTAATATATAGTAAAGACATGACAATTTCAGACAGATCTTTTATTACATATGCCAGAAACATGCACATTTTAGTATTAGTTTGAGTGATTCTTGGTGATGCTTTAATAACAGATTTGATGAAAAAACCTCTTTGTAAACATAAACTGTTTAAGGGTCAAGTTACTCTTTTATTTGTTTGCTTACTGAAATGTATGTATAGCAGTTATATGTCTGCATTAAGGGCAAAACAAACATAATTTTTTGTAGAAAGTGTGGCTATACATATTTAGTATATTTTAAAAGATCAAAATGTTTAGACATTGTGACATAAACTAGGTGCTTATTTCCTAAGCAACAATGCCTTTCTGAAGTACATTAGTTGTGTCTGTATTAGTAAAGTTCTGTTTTAATTTATATTCATGTCTGAATCATAGTGGTAAGGAAGCACACAGTTTGATTATGGCTTGCACTTCAGAGTACTCACTTACAATTTCAGTGTTCCAAAAATTAATTTTTAAGACTGTAAACACCACTTACATCGATACTAGAAACAAAAGTAACTTTGAGGTATGGTGCTGAGAAATTTCCTCTGCAGCGATGTATTCTGAAGACATCTCCTATTAGAGCTTTGGTTTATATGAGCATTGATAGCCTAGATATTTCCCAAAAAGTGCTTGAACCATCTTTTCTTTCATTTTTCCAAGTTCTCTGTAGGTAATTAAATGTTAAGATTATATTATTTTTGAAAAAGGAAACACACTGGTTTTAAGCACCGGTTTAAAGGTGGATATTGAGGCTGAGCAGCTTTGTGCCATTTTCCAGGACTGAAGTGTAGGACTGCAGAGGAATACTCAAACACCATTAGGATATTAATAGACTATATAGTCATTTAATTGTGATAAGCATATTTATGAGTAGTTGGGAGAAAAAAATAATAGCATGCTCTTTGGGGAGACTGGAGAAAATATTCAGCTATCGCATATGCATTTAGCTAAAAATCAGAAGATAATAGAGTAGGAACACTGGTCCAAAAATAAAAAATAATATTTATAAATTTCAATGGAAAATGAGGGAAGAGATAGAACAAGAGCATGGATGGAGTAAACAGAAAGGTGAAGAACCACAAAGAAGAGCAAAGGGAGAAGCTTTATTCTGCAATGTTTTGAGAAGAGGGCTGAGATGTTTTGATGTAGTACATGTCTATGTACTCATAGCTAACTGTCAATTAAATTCTATTTATTTATTATTAATACCTAATTAGCTGCACATCTCAATAAATCTTCAGTATTATTTCTACTTATCAAAAACACATTTGAATGGAGGAGAAAAATGTCACGTACCCTGGGCATTTTCAGTAACAATTTTTTGTATATACAATAAATAATATTTTTGGTGCCTCTGTTGCAACATACAAATAAAGAAATTCTGTAAACTACGAGGTGGGAGACAATTTATGACTGCTACTTACTGTATAAATTTATACCCTTTCCCTGTTTTCATGCCTTATTGTTTTCCTGATCTGCTTATTAGGTTGTTTCATGCCAGGTTTGAAAAATAGGTGAATTATAAACTTATTTTGGACTTAATATGTATAGGCCATCTATACATATGTATATGCATCTGGATTCTGAATTTTTAGTATAAAAACATAGCACTATGTTACTTCAAATTACATTGCATAAGAATTTATATTCTTATATGCTTTTACACAAGCTGCTTTTTAATTAATATAGAACTTCCTTCTAAAATGAAGTCATTTTCTTTCATTTGTGAACATCACCACTTGTTTCAGCACATGTTAACTGTGTCTATTGTCTCTTGTCTAGCTGTACCCCATAAAATAGGGCGGATAATTGATGGAAGCCCTGCGGATCGCTGTGCAAAACTTAAAGTTGGAGACCGGATCTTAGCTGTGAATGGCCAGTCTATTATTAACATGCCTCATGCAGATATTGTGAAGCTAATTAAAGATGCAGGTCTCAGTGTAACTCTTCGCATCATTCCTCAGGAGGGTAAGTCAATGGCCCTTAAAGACAGGAAGAAAATTTTAAGTAGCCTCCAATTAGCTTAAATTATGTCACCACTTGAAAGAGCATCTTTTGTTCTCCTTCCTCCGCTGTAACGTGCAGCACACCAGAATTATGAGCTTAGAAGTAGCTCAGATAGGATCTGAATTCTTGAAAAGGTTTCAGGTTATGAAAGGGGTATTTAAAGCAAACCTGGAGAAGCCCGAGAGAGAGAGAAAGAGGATGTTAAGGTCTTTTGCAAGAATTGTCTTCTACATGGAAAAGCACTCTACAAGAGAGCCAAGTTTTGAGTTCGTTCCCTTATATCTTGCTATAAGCCAAGCCAAAGTTTGACAAAGTGATTCACAAGAGACTGCAATGGCTGTCACCAGGCATGTTCAGCTAACAGCTACGTGTGACAAAAAGTGATGTGAAGGAAGAATTCAGATTTGGCAGTTTCCTCCATCACTATCACATAGTGATACATCACTGTAAATGCACAAGGCAGGAAATAACTGAACCCTGAATTATCTCATTTCTAGGGTGAGAATAATGGGATAGACTCATTATTCTGGTCATTGCTCCACATCTAATCAGTGTAGATCTTTTGATGTTGGTTCCTTGAGGTTTGGGGTTGATTTTTTTAAGTTTAACAATGTGCTGCACTGCTGCATGAATTGTACCACATTAATGAGACTATGTCTTTATATTTCAGCAACAAATACCAGTAGAGCTGGGAATGACACACAGAAAGTAATGGAATTACTTAATGATCCATGGCCCAGTTAGATGACCTTCACCTTATGCTGCTGCATCCAGAAGGGGACAGGGAAATAGCCTGACACTGGTCACAGACTGCAGCTGAGGGAACTCATGTACTTTGTTAAATGAATTCAGTGAAGGGAAAAACACAAACATACGCAAATTAAGAATTCATATCAATTAGGACTTGTGTAATTACTGGGGGTCAGCTTTACTGGAGGCATCTAAAACAAGTGTGATACTTCCTACAGTCCGTTAAGTTTGTTTAAGCCTCTCTGGTATCCAGGTTAAATAACATCATTAATAGTTTAGTGTTAGAGATGGATACATCAAATTATAAAAATAGAAGAGATGCAGCTGAGTTGCAGTACTACAAGAAGTTCTCAGGTGCTAGTGGTGAGAAATTATCTGTGCCAAGGCACAGCTCCCCTGTGTGACTGTGTGACACTGGACACCTCATTTGCCTTCTGATATTAGCTTCTCAGCTTAGAAAAATTGGTAAAAAATCTAATACCTCTGTAATATACTTTCAGGTAAAAAATGCCATATAAATGCAAAGCAGTTTTAGAAGCAGCTCATGATTTGACCAGTTCATCCATAGTTATGAGAGTAATGTAGAAATGAGGCACAACATTTCCAATCTTCCTCTCTAAAATTTGCAATACAAAAGAGACTCACAGATGCAAAATGGGCAAATGCAGCCTTAAGCACAGTAATTACACAGAAAAGTATTGCTTATGCCTGTATGAAGAGTGTTTTAAGTGCAAATATACAAGCTTTTTTTGACAATTAATCCTAAATTGAACATATTTTCAATAAAGTAGCCAAAATTTTTATAATAATTGTGAGCATAAATTTGATAACTAGAGAATATGCACCATAGGGGAAAACTCACACATTTAAAGTTTAAAAATAAACCACATAAAAATTAAAACTAGATTCAAATGTAAAAATCCAAATGTAGAAAAGATCTGTATCATGTGTTGCTAGTGCTGTTAGGGATGCTCAGCCATAATTGTGTCCATTTTGTTTGTTTTGCACCATGCCACACTGGCCTCACTCCTTCTGTTGCAAGCAGGAATAGAAAAAACATATTTGCCTTTGCTGTTGATAATGCACGAACTTCTGCAGTGCTCTGTCCTGCTCTAGGCAGAGTCTCTCTCATTTATGAATCCTAACAGTTAAATGGTGAACAGGACTGTGCTAGTGTGTTGGAAGAAATATATTTGATATGAGCTCAGTATCAGATGTGTCTCCCCCAAAGTCCAGCAGGAAGCCTGAATGAAGATTGGCATCTTTTATTTATAGCAAAGCAACAAAACCATATTTCCTATGCCAATCTCTATGTCTTTTTGAATTTTGTTTTGTTTGGAAGGAATTATTCTGTTTTTCTGCACTGTTCCTATGTGGAACCTTAGTCATTTGACATAATACAGTGAAATAAAACCTCAGTTTAAATGGTTAGTCAGAATTTATTGAGATTGGGTTTACTGTTCACAGTCCCCAAAAATTTAAAGACAGGAAACTCTTGATGAGCTGAAAGACAGGAGGAACTAATGTAAGGACACTGGTGTTTTAGCTTTTGTGACAGGGCTGTCATCCAAACAATGGAGAAAGCAGTAAAATGTTCATTCTCTCAAATTTTCTTTTTTTTTTTTCTAAATGGGAAGCATTTGAAATATCTTGTAGCTGTGTTAAGGCACATGAAGGACAGGGAGGTGATTCAGGACACCCAGCACAGCTTTACCACAAATGAGTCCAGCCTGACTAACCTAGTGGCCTTCTACAATGGAGTAACTACATCAGTGGACAGCAATGCACGAAGGATGAGCTGTAGATCTCACCTATCTGGACCTCTGTAAGGCATTTGACATGGTACCCCCACATTCTCTCTAAACTGCAGAGAGATGAATTTGATGAACAGGTTGAGGGAGGTGATTCTGCCCCTCTACTGCGCTCCCATGAGAACGCCTGGCATTCTGAATCCAGCTGTGGGGTCCTCTGGACCTGTTGGAAGCAGTCCAAAGGAGGGTCATGAAGATGATCAGAGGGCTGGAGTGTCTCTGCTATGAGGAGAGGCTGGGTGAATTGGTGTTGTCCAGCCTGGAGAAGACAAGGCTCCAAGGAGACCTTATTCGGACCTTCCAGTACTTAAAGGGGGCTTATAAGAAATATGGGCACAGACTTTTTATCAGGGCCTGTTGCGACAGGACAAGTGATCTTATAGCTTTGAACTAAAAAAGGGTAGATTTAGACAGATATAAAAAAGATATTTTTCTTTTTTTATGATGAGGGTAACGTAACACTAGAACAAGCTGCCCAGAGAGGTGGTAGGTGCCTCGTCCTGGCATTTCTGTCAAAATTCAAGGCCAGGTTGGGCAGGGCTCTGAGCAGCTTGGTCTGTTAAAAATACCCCTGTTAATTTCAGGGGAGTTGGACTAAACAGTCTTAAAGTGTCATTCCAACCCAAGCTATACTGTGACTCTATCACATTCCATCATTCTATGATCGGTAAGTCTATGCTTTAAAAAAATATGTGAAACATGGAAGCAATTTTCCTTGTTCAGTTGTGTTTTAAATAATGACAGTGTCAACCAGAATTATAGAAGTCACCAAGATTTCAGATCCCACAGACTATCAAAAGAAGACCATTAGGTTCAAATGTCTTAAAATCTAATTATAACCTGAGAGAGTAAAAGCGACAAAGCATAAATTTGCAGACGTAGCGTGTGACCAAAGATTATGATTGCGTACCTTTGCCCTTTATTAAATGCTGCACTGTGACAGGTCTTTAATCTCTATCTCCCCATTGTGCAGAGCTGAACAGCCCAGCCTCGGCCCCCAGCTCGGAGAAGCAGAGCCCCATGGCCCAGCAGCACAGCCCCATGGCCCAGCAGAGTCCCCTGGCGCAGCAGAGCCCCGTCGCCCAGCACAGCCCCGTGGCCCAGCCGCCACCTCCACAGCCCCTCCAGCCCCAGGGACACGAGAACAGGTTTTGCATTTTCTCAATGGTCTGGTTTTTTTTTTCCCCTTGCATGTTAGTCTGGAGTCAGGAAGTTATTTTTTATGGTGTGTTTAATCTCTGGTGTATCATTTACCAGCCAATTTCTTATGTGTAATTTATGCATATACATTAGCAAATTTATCTCTAATGGAAAACAAATGGTTGGAGGACAGAAATTTTCTGGCCAGATGTATTAAATGCTGTTTATATAAAAAGCACACACAAGCTGTGGGATGATACAAGTTTCTGTGACCTCCAATCAACACTATTTAGTCTTTGTATTATTTTTTCGCGTGTTAAACGAGGCTGATTACACTGACTGTCTTTATGCTAATCTTCAGTAAACAACACATATCATCAAGATCCTCTTCCCCAGACAATGCTAGCTACAGGACTGTAACTTTTCTCTTCTGGAAATACTTGAGTTGACTTGTGATTCAGATGCTACATCCTCTAATTCTCCTTGCTTAACAGATGTAGTACTTTCACTTGCCCGAAAGTATTTTCTTTCAATAGTCATACTAGGAAAATTACTTTGCCTTATATTTCATTGATTACTTTCTCCAAAAGTGATCACCTCCTAGAAGACATATATTGCTGACAATATTCAATACAAAGTTTCACAAAAGTAATTTTGTGCTGTTGAAAGTCAGTATTAAATATCTGTTAAATTGGGAATTTTTAGATGGAAGCAGAAAACTTTATTAATTAAAGTTCCAGAAAGAGATTCTGTAATAATTTTACTGAAAATAGAAGCTCTAGTTGCTCATGTCACCATTTACATATTCAGCAAAAATTACAGTACCTCCATCTGTGAATAAAAACATCATCTTCTGATATGCAGCTGTGGCCATATATTGGGAACCTGCCTAAAGATGACTCTTATTTCAGAAAAAGTTCAACTCTTTCTAGTTCATACAGTATTATTTTTCACTAGATTTCATAAGCTAGATTACAGCTTGTTTGTATAGCCACATACATTACTTCTTTACCAAAATAAGATTTTAAAACTAGGTGGTTTTTTTTTTTACTTCCAATATTAAGGTTCAGTATCACAGTAAGCCTCACAGTAAGTTTGTCCTCTATCTTCTTTTTACAGGATCATGATACTGAGTAAAAAAGTAAGAGGCTTGCATGTATGCATGCAGGTCTTACTAATTGTGGCATCAGTCTATTTTAATCTCGGAGAAGTCAATGGGAAATAGTTTTGATTTTTTTTGTGTCTGGTTAGACATTCAGATTATTAAAGCTATTGTATGGGAAGATTAGCCATAATTTCACTGTAACTACATTAATAAATTAATGAAATTTTGAAACATTTCAGACAATTTTAAACATTTAGATTTAGATTACATTTTATATATAAATCAACATAATCAAAAACAATGCTGTCATTTTTTCAGAGTGTAATTTTTTGTAATCAATAAGTACATTTCAAAATCACTTTCAAAGTCTATATACAGCTCTGTATCTGTATGTATCCATGAATGGACATGGTCACTTGGCTGACTGAAAACATCCAGTCCATTATTAAAGCATAATTTGAAATGTCTATTTCCTGTACAGGAAAGAAATATTTCCTTTGGCACCTAGGGAAGAGTGTAAGAACATCCACTCTGTGAACATTTTTGTTAAAATATAACCTTAAACTACTATTACAGAATTACCTTGCTAAAAGTGTTCAGGACTTTCTTTGTACCTCTTTAGCACACCACATGGCTGAGGTAGGGAACCTTATTGCCATAAGGAATGTTCTTTACTTCACTCTGAAGTGCTATTATGTGCTGATTTCCATGTGCTGAGGGAAATTCCCATCTGAATAAAGTAAATAACTAGGCACTATATCTCAGAAAGTCACATTTTCTTTTAAATTTTAGGACTTAATTCCCTGTAACCACTTACCAGCTAAAGTAATATTTTCCTTGTTATTAGTTCCTCATAACCAATTTATTTTCTTTTCACCTTGTGTTATTTCTGTGCATAACTACTGACATGAATTTACTGACATAGCTTTTAGCCAGATAGCATCATAGGTAGTGTATAATAAAAATAATACACGCTATATTAACAGATGTTATATCAAAGAATACCTTTCATTAAAAAGGTAACAGTTAAGACAAAGAATTTATCCTTTTTTAACCTTAAGTAGATCACAATAATATTTTATGTAAATGAAAGGCAATATACACTGCACTGATATTCCACTTATTCTATAGAAATATTAATTAAAAAAAAAAAAAACACTGTAGAAACTCAGTGAATTATTTTGTAGTGAGTATAATGGGTGTTTTCACATGCAGTTTCATCTTCATTATAGGCAAAGTGGGAATCAACAAGATGCTTTTTCTGTTCCTGTCCCTTTGAGTCTACTCCTGATGTCACTGATACAAGCTGGAAAATTGCATTGTATGACCTGAGGGAAAATTGCTTATGCCCATGTTTCAAAAGCACTCGCTGTTTTCAGATGCCTTGACTATTTACCCTTGAGAGTTTTGCTTCTCTGTGAACATTTGTTCCGTGCAATTTTGCAGCCAAGCAGCTGGCTTTCACTCCTCAGTGCCACACACAGTGCATATTCCTAATGGTCTGCTACTGTCTGAAACGGAGCCATTGTGCCTTCCTCAGTTACAGGTCAGAAGTAAAAGCCAGGCAGGATGTGAAGCCTGACATCCGGCAACCCCCGTTTACAGACTACAGGCAATCCTCCACGGACTACCGGCAGCCCCCGCTGGACTACCGGCACCCGCCGGTGATGGATTACCAGCAGCCACCGCCGCTGGACTACAGGCAGCCCCCGCTGATGGACTACAGGCAGCACTCCCCTGACACCAGGCAGTTCCCCCTGTCCGAGTACAGGCAGCCCCAGGTACGAGCAGACGCGCCCAGGGCGCTCCTTTCTACACAGAAGGCAGCAGGGTCAGTAGGACAGGTCATGGATGTTGGTAAGGAAGACGCCACTATGGAAGGAAAAGACACGTTAAAGGGTTTTACTCTGAGTTGTTACTTCTCTGTAGAGGAAATTACTTCCAAGTCGTTAATATTAATGTATCACCGTGTGATCTTTAAATTAACATTATGTTTATAATTGTGTGGCTGTAATATTAAATGAATGCCATTTTTAAGGTACTGGAGAGTTGAAACAAAAATTCTAACATAAAAAGCCTTTTCATCAGCAGAGTTTTTTTTCATTCTTGGGACATATTCATCGAACCGTAGGTGTTCTTAGGTCAGACTGCATTTCTACAGCGTTCTTAAAAATTAATATTTTATCTAATCAGAATAAATAAATAAAGGAATGAAAATCCTGACTGATAAAATTAAATTTCTGTTGGTAATAGTTTGGACAAGTAGAAACTAGCCCATGCAACTAGTTTCTTTGACATCAAGCATGCTCTGACAAATTCAAAGAGATGATGAGTTAGATGAAGAGTTATGTTACCTTGGACAAGATTCCTCTGGTGACAGATATTTACTGACAGCTTTGAAGGTTGAGGATTTAGCTGAAAGTTCAGACTTTGAAAAAGACCTTCCTTTCTCCTTACATAAAGGCAGGAAAAACAGAGGTCAAAAAGTATTAAATAGGAGACTGTAAACTTCTGGTCACTATATGCTGAAACCATGGTGGTTTGTATGTCCATATTTTCAAAACTAGACACGTAAACCATATAAAGAAAAATACTGAAATTCCTAAATGGGATCCAGAGAACCTTATGAAAATATTGTGTGTTTCAGTATCTAAATAGCAAATCTCTACCCCCATGTGCATACCTTGTAAGATGCTTCTTAGCATCTAGAGAAATACTTGGGTTGGCTGCTTCCTAGGACCTCCAGTTAATTCTCTAATCAATAGATTGCACAACCCAAGCTTTCTCTTTATTTTCTCCTGCTCCCATGGACCTTGCACACTTGGCTGACAATGGATCAGAAGCTACATCACAGTTTCCCTCCCAGACCTCTCTATGGACCTTTGCTTATATCAAGTGGATCAATAAATATTTGAAGAGATCAATTTTAACGTTTTCTTCAATACCACAATGCCCATATGGTTAATTGTCTTTCATTTTGTATTTGTTTGTACAGGACTTTGATTATTTCACCGTTGATTTGGAGAAAGGAGCCAAAGGATTTGGGTTTAGTATCCGAGGAGGAAGGGAGTACAAAATGGATTTGTATGTGTTGAGGTTAGCAGAAGATGGACCAGCAGTAAGAAATGGAAGGATGAGGGTGAGTAAAATACATTGCGACATTTTGTTTTTGACATTTACAGATATGTTTGGTGATGGGGTCAAAGAGAAAGTGCTTTTTTCACCTCTGATCAGATTTTTAAAAATAATGCCAAATACCTCTTATAAAACAAGCTCATTCTGTTCAATTAGTTGATACACGTAGTTGATCCCTGTAGTTTCTTCACAAATAAATGTATTACTTCTGGCTAATAATACCTTTTATCATGTTATAAATGTTTGTCATTATTATTTTAACTCTTATCTAAGCAACTTAAAAATCTCAGACAAAATTTGGTGTTTCTTAGATAATAATGACATAATTAACTTTTGGGTCTCTAATCACAAAAGCAAAGTGATCACTGTAGGACATATATTAGATAATTATGAAGCCTAAGCCATCATCTGTGTTGTTTTACTAATTTAAGTAAGTCGCCTTTGTACTGTTTGCTAAATTTGTTTATTGATCTTAATCTTGTTTGTAGGGATCATGGTTTAAAAAAGCACAAACACACAGTCTATAGGAAAAATAACCTAATCAAAAATAGAGACTTCAGTCTGTCCATTTGTGATAAAGACAAGGTATAAATTCATCCAGGCCTGCTGATACTTTGCAGAATTGTGAGTACTGAAAAAGGAGAAGGAAAAAACATAGGCAAGACTACCAAGAGTCAACATAAAAAGTTGTTTATGTATCTAATTAGTGCAGTCATGTTCAACCAATATTTAATTTCAAAGATGGGCAATGAAAATTGTGTTCTGTACAGTGGTAAGAACAGATTTTACAAATGTCATGGTTGTTGCACTTATTCTGTTTCACAGCCTAAACAATCTGGTCAAATTTGATGTCTTGCTAGAAGAGCACTGTCTTTTTGTGTACAGCTCAGGAGTTTTGGTGTGCTTCAAATGACTCTTAACTTGGCCACTTGGCAGAATTACAAAATTTAGTTAGTCCTTAGTTGTCTCATGGAGTGCAAGCCCCTGGCACTGGCAGCATCAGCAAAAGAAGTCCCCAGGTCTGGAAGGCCAGCGGGGCAGTCAGGCAGGCAGCTGGTAATGGAGATATACTCCCACTGCATTTTTTGGGTGAAATACAGGTGATTTTGTGCTGCAGCTGGAACTTTAGCTTTAGAATATCTTCTCTGGTCTTCATTCTTTCCTTTATTTTAGTATTATCATTGTCTGTTGCTCTTAATGAGAAGCCATATGCAAGATGTACATTAGTAGCTATAATGTGATTAAAGATGGAGAAAAAGCTGTGCTTTTAATAAGCTCTGGAATCACATATTTGGAAACATATGGCTAAGAATACAGAAAAAACAAAATAACACCTTTGAAGAGGGTTCATTTCAAATAATAGCCTGTATTAGGTAGGAATTGAACATTCAAATCTGTGCACCACTTAAACAAACTAGTACTAAGGAATGAAGTTAGATTAGGAATAGCCAAAATATAGAAAGTATTTAACATGAATATGGGTTGTATTTTTTTCAATTGCATTAGGAAAAGTTCTGTATGTGTTAATGAATACTGCTAATACAGTTCCTAAAATATCTTGGTTTAAAGCTTTTTCATTGTAGTGGCCACAACATAGAGCCTAGCATAATAAGTGTTATTCTGACCAGATAGCTGTAATTGGGGATTTTTCTCCCTTTTAAAAGCATCATTCTTTAGAACCAGTTCTCCCATGCATCCTTGTCACTGAGCATTATCTTTTAGTCTCCTGCCTCACAGACATTTTAACCTGACAAATGGGTTGGGAACATGAAAGATTTTTATATTCAGTGACCTGTGGCTGATGGACAGCAGAAGCTCAAGAAACAGAGTCAAAACAAAAAGAGAAAAAATAGAAGCAAAAGAAAAAGAAATATTGTTGAAAGAAATATATTACATAGGAAGGTGGACAAAGGAAGCAGATTTCCTTTCCTAAATTTACATCAGCTGTTAACAATGCAGGTTCATTCATACTTCTTGGCTGGTTGTTGCATTTCTGTATCTCTCTGTTTCACAGGTGCATCTCTACAGCAAAACATGCAAAAATCAGGTCAATGCTTCTTGCTTTAGATACCATTGTCCTTAAAGACATGATTCCCTGATCCTAGGCTTTCAGCACTGAGGATAGCAAACCGTGCTTTTGTGGTAGGATCTTATCAGAACACTTTCCAGCTAAGAGTCATTCTGGTGACCTACTTGTCTCCATTATTGTTTTGCTTGCTGTTTCCTCCTCCTTGAACAGCCTTCTTTAGTTTAACAGAAACTTTACAAAGAAGCATTGAAGCATCTACACAAGGTGCGAGTCATGCATATAAAAGGAAATAACACACATAACTCCAGCCCTATTCCCAGTCACAAAACCAAGAAAAGAAAAATAAAACCAGATAAGTTGTTGTAAAAAATAGATCATATGATGAAACATGTTACCTGTAGGGCACTTAGATGTAATAAGCAAACATATTCCACAAATAACATTCTGTATTCAATCTACATATAGCCAGCAAAAGCCCTGATAGAGACTCAGTCATACTGATATAAAGCTCCCTATGTTACAGAAATAAATAAAATAATTACCCTAAAGTAATAAAGCTGAAGGTATACTAATGGTTTTATAAAATTTTATAATTGAAGAAATGAAATCTCAAACTGAAAACAGCTCTGGGTGAGGAAGTCAAAATCGGTAGGTTTACTCTATTAGTGGGCACTGCAAAACCACAGTGTTGGTATGAATCCCAACAGCTACTTGGTCATGTGTTAAAAAAATCTGAGTCCACCACCATACATTCAAAATATTCTAAGGTCTAAATACGTGTAAATGTGTTAGGCATTACAGAGGTAGAGGATATTAGAGTAAGACCTAGATTATGGGAAAACAGATGTAAAGAATTGGAATGGAGCTATGTCTTGTAAAAGAAAAAAAGTAGATCCATTATTGAGGAAGGTAGCTATGGAAGGAGTACAATATGCTGATAATAGCAAAAAGAAATTAAACAAGAAAGCAATGATAAAACAAGATGAAGAAAGTGACATCAAAATCAGAACATCCTTATGAAAATTTCAGTTTTATCTTCAGGCTTTTATGAACTTTGGTGAGACTTGTGAGCAGACAGAGAACAGAATCATAGAACAAGCCCAAGAAGCAACGATCTTCCACTGGCCCTGCCAAAACTCTCTGGATTTGTAAATATTGATGTAAAAAGGAAAAAGATTTTATGAAGTTCATTATCACCATTTCCATTCATAATTGGATTATTATTCTGGTCCCCTTCCTACTGGGGACGGCATGCTAGGCGCATTGTGTTTTTATTGGGAACAAATTCACCAAGGAACACCCCATTTTAGGATTACAAGATGTAAAATAGCCTTTAATTGCAGTTCATGACAAATGAAGTTTTCTCTTCTGAATTTCTGCAGAATTGTTGTGGGAACTGGAAAGGTGGAAGAGCACTGAATTGATGTCATACAAAATTCATCAGTTTTCCAATCCTGTTGCTCTTCTACTCAGGGATCCCTTTCTGCCAGCCTAGATAGATGCATCATTAAATCATGAGATTCAACAAATTATTCCCTTAAAAGTATGTTTAAATTTTCATGTTCTTGTCATGGCACCGTCACATGCACTGAGACTTTTATTTGAGCCCATAGACTCTGCAGAAGGCCCAAGCAGATATCTTAGTTTAACCTGGATTCCTCTATCACTGGGTATGGGCAGGAAATGCCCATCAAAGGACCCAGTGGCCTACAGGAAACTGATTCTTTGCATGCATCCTCTGCCCACATGGTTGTTAAACTGTTCTCAACCAGTACTGGAGACCCACAGCCTTAAGGGCAGCTTCATATAAAATCATATGTTAGGCCATACACCACAATTAACTGCGGCAAGACTTTACTTCAATTTATGGATAAAATATATGGCAGCTCCTCACAGGAGACTGCTGTAAGGGAGGACCTCCTCACTATGCTGGAATTAAATACTGACAGTGTATTTTACATAGATATATCTAATATATGTAAATACTGACATAATTCTGACAGCTGAGCAGAGAGCAAGCTACAATGGCAAATTCTGAAAAACCTATCTATCTATGTCTGTGTTCCATAAGACAAGGATGTATTAAAACAACCAGGAAAAAAGTTTGGAGAACTATTAGTGCCTTTGTTATCTTTTCCGAGACTGACAGACGTCTCAGAACATCAGGATTCCATTTCTCAAGCAATCCTAATATCATGGAAAAACACTGAAACTAGTTGGTGATGGCAATATTAAGAATAAAGCTGCAAGGCCCATTCTCAGCATAGGGCAAGAGCATGGCACATACACTGTCAGTGACAGTCATATTGAGTTGAATCTGTCACCAGAGACAAGGGACATAACACAGACAATGTGGAGCAAAGTCCCCACAGCCTTTGGAGATGCAGACACTACTGGAAACTATTTTACAGGTCTATTTAGATAAAGTTCATGCTAATTTATGTTTTATTATTGCCTTATGCTGAGGACAATGATTGGCAGAGCTCTGCTTGCAGATCTCTATCCCTTCCTGTCTTAGAAGGAAGGGATAAGTTCCTTACTGCTCTCAGGGGGATTGTTAAGCATGGTTATAGTGTTTGCTAGACGTGAGATAGGATCAACACATCTCTTATTGCCTTGAATGATATCTCCAGAAGCCAGCATGTTCACTGAAACCAGTGTCAAACAAAGAGCCTGTGGCTGAGGGCTGCAAAGGTACAGAATAACATTTAATTCTTGAAGAATGAGGGTGAAATGTGCTTTTTTTTATAGACAGTGTACATCTGTGGCATTTTGTCACTTTGTGAGCTACATCCTTTTTTCACATCTTCCACAAAAGCCATACATCTAATCTCTGACATTTCTACTTTCATTGTCTTGTCAACTCATTTTTCTCAGTCCTCATGCACCATTTAGCCCTATCTCCAGCTTCCTCATCTCTCCTTATGCTACATTATTTTTCTTATTTTATTGCATATTTTTCTTATATTTTGGCA